GAAACACTGAGCTTTTATAAACTATTGAAGATCACTCTGGCAACTGGGCAGAAGTAGACTTAACTTTGAATATTGACTAAGTTATATTTTTTGAAGCTTTAATAACCCTATTCAGACAAGAAATGCAATCTAAGATGGACAAATAATAAAATATGTTGAATTGTTTTTTAATCATTACATAAAAGTTAAACAACAAATAGCTACAATTGGTAATTTTTCCAAAAGTGTATTAAATGTATTAATTGGCTAATTTAAATCTATTCTCTATAAAAATAAGAGGTTTAAAATTAGTCAAAACTAAAGTTTAGGGGCTGGTGAGATGACTCAGTGGTCTAAAGCACCTACTTAGAACAAGCTTAGCAAAGCACGGGGACCGCAGTTCAATCCCCCAGCACCACATGCCAGTCAGCCCCACCCCCTGGTGGGCTGAGCTGGCCACACACACACACACACACACACACACACACCAAAAATAAATAAATAAATAAATAAATAAAAAAAAAAAAAAAAAAAAAACAAACAAAAAAATAAAACCTAAAGTTTAGTCCTAAATCTAAAATTTATAAACTATTAGTTAATTTCCTTGATATTGAGATTCTCAATTTGGAATGGGTAAAAGATGAACTTGCTACCTCAAAAGACTATTGAATTTAACCTGAAACATCTACCATAGTATACTGCAAAACTGTATTTCATTTCCCAATATCAAAACCTACATTTTCTCATGGTCTCATCTTAATATCCGTTTTTCTGCTCTAATTGACCTCCAACAAGGAAATAAGAAAATGGATAGGCAACGTTCCTAAACATTCTTGCTCTTCTTGACTTTCAAAGATGTTGATTAGAAATTAAATTCCTATTTGTCTCTATTGCTACTCTTTATTTATTTATTTATTTATTTATTCATATTGTAGGGAAGGGGCTACAGGGTGCTTAGGGTCTCACTACTAGCTCAGACTCATAGTGATTCTCCTGTTTACAGCCTCCCAAGAGCTGGAATTACAGGCATGTACCACCACACCCAGTCTCAAATGCCATCTCGGTGTGCCCCGGGGCAGGCCTGCACTGCAGGCCTGAGGATTGTACCCCTGGTCCCTGTGCCTGCTTGCAGGCACTTTAATCCACTGAGCTATTTGGCCGGCCCTACTATTGCTACTCCATAATATTGACAGATCTGCTAAATGAGAAAGAATATTTCAGATAATAAGTAGTTCCATCAAGGGGAAAGGAAACGATATTTGTCAGTGAAATAAAACAACAAAAGTGGAAAAACTTTTCCATAGGAAAAAATAGAGTGAAAAGAAGTTTAAGAAAAAAAAAAAATGGTCCCTCTTTTTTAACATTCTTTGGGCTAAAGAAAACGCAAGGACCCCCAAAAAGCAAAGTTGCTTAATTTAGCTACCAGAATTATTTTTATTGCAGGAAACTGCAAGAACTATAGATGAACTAAAAGGAACTACAAAATAAAAGAGATGGGATGGGAAAAGGGAGAAATGACAGGTTGGAATTCTCCTTAGTGAAGAACAAGTATTTATGCATGTGCATGTATGTATTTTGTAAGAAGACATAATGCCTTATATGGAGATAGTTAAACAAATAGCTCTTAACATTTGTCTGTTTATCTTTGATAATAGAAAATTTTTCTCAGCCTAGAGTAATGTTGAATGTGACTCCATTGTAGAATGATAGAAGTTGTTTAAAAATCATTTAATATTAAGAATACAACACAATTACCAATTCAAAATTACCACTTTAGTTTTGACTAATTCTAAACCTATTCTTTATAGAGAATAGATTTAATTAATTAATTAATACATTTACATGTTATTTATTACTTCATAGCAAAAAGTGTTATTTGTTATTTTGATCATTTCATCATTGGAAGAATTGTCTTATTCCTTAACCACATGAATTTAGACACCAGATTTATTAATGAAATACCATATATAATTTTAGATACCTTTATGAAGCAAACAGAAACAGGAATATATATTCAAATAATTTTGTGGATTTTTTAAATGTATTTTAGGAAAGGGTCTACAGAGTATTCAGGGTCTTTCTACTAGATCGGGCTCATAGTGATCCTCTTGTCTACAGCCTCCCAAGAGCTGGGATTACAGGAGCGTGCCACCACGACCAGTATCAATTGCCATCTCAGCAGGCCCTGGGAGTGCGGCTGGCAGTGTAGGCCTGGAGACCGAGCCCCCCCCCCAAAAAAAAACCCCAGCCCCTGCACCTGCTTGCAGGTGCTTTAATCCACTGAGCTATTTGGCCAGCCCTATTTTGTGTTTGTATCTAGAAATATTTTTTTTAATTTTTCTGATGTACAGTATAATCACCCAGTCTTAAACATATGCAAACAGTGCATAAGGGCAAAAAAAAAAAAAAAAAAAAAAAAAAAAAAAAAAAAAAAAAAAAAGAGGAAATTTTTATTCTCTGGTTTTCTAACAATGGAGAGCTGTGGAAATGTGTCAAAAAGGAAAAAAGTTAAAAACTAGAATTGATGTATAATTAAAATGTTAGACCCAGATTTGTTTCATGAACTCTTTCTCTTGAAAAATCATTCAGGTCTTAAATTGATAGTGAATAAGAAAAATATTTTGTTCCGCTCCACCAAAAACCTAGACATAAACCTTATTACATAAAAATAAATAAATAAAATGAACTCCAAACTTCCCTAATTTTCTACCTGGCTGCATGTCATAGATGATGAAAGAAGTTGGGTGTCAGTGATACTGTCCATACCTGAAACCAAAAGCATCGCCCATATGCAGGGACCCAGTCCAGGCATGTGAGGCCTTGGACAGAAACTCACAGAGTATACCTGACTGCAGCCAGTTCAGCCATCCACAGGTTTTTCCTTCTTATATAAGACGTCTGCTTTTTTTTCTTTTCAAAGGGAATTGTGTGGAAATTTTACTCATTCGCATAAGCCTATGCGAATTATACATCAAATAAATAAAATGAACTGACACATGCCTTCAATAAGTAGAACCTTCAGTTTACTTTTTTTGTTGTTCTACAGCTAATATTAGGAAGAGAGGCATCTACAAACACTTGCAATGCAACCCCCCCAAAATATCTTTGTGAATAAAAAGAAGGTGAAGACCAGTGTGCCTGCTCAGTATCAGATGCATTGTTAGTAAATTATTTTGAGTGTTGTACAACATGGAGAAAAGTTGGAATTAAGAAACTGAAAGAGTTTTCACTTTTAAAAACTCTGACTTTGAAGAGAGACGAACTTTGAGTATAAATGGAAAAACAAGGCTTCAAACATCAGTTTCATCCCACACTGGTAGATCACTTTGCACAGTAGGGAATTCTTAAATGTTAGAATAAAAGCAAGAAGAGCTCCTGCATCAGAAGAGAAATAGCAAAACAGGGGCAGGGGAGATAGCTCAGTAGAATAAACTCTTGCCTGGCAAGCACAAGGGCCTGAGTTCAATCCCCAGTTCTGAAAAGAAAGGAAGAAAAAGAAAGAAAGAAAGAAAGAAAGAAAGAAAGAAAGAAAGAAAGAAAGAAAGAAAGAAAGAAAGAAAGAAAGAAAGAAA